ACCGAAGACAACTGCTTCTGGAAAAACGGATAATTTCTTTTTTAAGAGAATTGCGTCTCATCAAATGTACAGAATTGTGTCTCTTCGGATGTAACTTTGATTGCAGTTCTCCAAAACACGTCACTGAAAGCTTTAATTGTTGATTCAAAAAATTATTTCTACATGTACATGTAGAAGTTGTCAAGTTACACAATGTAGAAATCTTTGACAATAACAATTGTACTGAGAATAACAAACAAACAAAAAATCAAATCAAATAGGAGATATTACCTTTATGTACTAGTTACCAAACTCCTGTTACAAACATTTAGAGAAATGCATTGAATGAGGTGAAAAGAATTCATTTTGAGGAGTTACATTACCTGTACTCCCCGCTCCCATTCCTGTCTCCACTGATCTGTGATAGTTATGTAGTTCTCTGGACTTAAATTCTGATGGTCTGGTAATTTCATGGCACTAATCAAATCAGTGCGAAATATCTGAAATGGTAACAAATAACAAAGGCAAAATTAAATACATGTAGATCATTAAGCATCTGTTTGTTTACTTACTCAGGTTCTGAAAACAATCACATGCACACCTGCAGGGCTCACAATAACTTGAATTCCAGCTTGCCCTGGGCAAGTCTTAGCCTACTTTTTTTTATTTCGACAACTTCCTTGGACTCTTGACCATCCAAGTGAACATGAAAAGTCACTTGCCTGTAACAGGGGGGCACTTTTTTCTAGCAATGCATCTGGAGAGTTTTATTTCATTTAGCCCATACTTGCAGACTCTTGCTGTGATACTAAACAATTTTCAAACAACTCTCATCTTTCAACTCCCGGCAGCTCTTGAGATGAAAGTTACCACTTGCCTAGGAAAGTTTTGATATCCACTTTAGAAGTGTAAATGGCACACTTTTGGTGCATTAGTTTACCTCATTCAAACTGATCAAGGGCCCTATAAAGTTTTCATCACTATGAAAATTACACTCTCATTTAATTAAGAACTGCATGTTCAGAAATGCAATTAATCTACAACTTACCTCTGCAGGTTTGCGACCCTCAAGAGAAAAACTGGCAGGAGATGGAGGACGAGAAGATCCTGTGAAAGAAATAAAATTATTGATATCATGTTAACTGGTGGCAAAGGTAACTAAGCCATGTACATGTACTCTTTTCTCCATCAAAAGAGAAAACTACAAAGCAATGCACAAGGTTTAAGAATTAATTTTATTTAAGGCTCACCTTTAATCTCATCAGCAATAATTGAATTCAGCAGCCTGTTTAATAGCAGAGACAGCCATAAGCTTAATATGTCGATAATGAAAATTGTAAATACACAGACACTGTTTTTTCCTTCCATTTTTTGTTCACTTTTCAGTGAGACATTTTGTCAGAAGTATTAAGGGACATAAAAATTGATTGGATACAAGCTTTCAAAACCATAATCACCCTTTCACGTCTCCTTGCTTGGCTTTCTTGCTTGCTTTTTTATCTAAATCCACTTCATCATCTTCTAAGAAGAAAAGTAATGTATGTACAACATAAATAACCTTTCTGTTATACAGGCTGGTGTATACATCTAAACATTATTTACAAAATGGTTAGAACCAACAAGTATATGATTGTGTTCAGTCAGTGGCTTAGTTATAAGGACTGGGCACTGGGCGAAGTGACCAGCTTAAAGGCCAATTTTATCCATACGATTTAACGATCTTCAAGAAACTTTTTCTTACAAAGAAGTTCAGTTCAAAAAGATTTGCTTGCCCTTAAAAATCAATAACCTTCCTGCTAAAATTGTGGAAAACCATAATAAACCAGCTGGTTAAGTGTAATTGACAGAGTGAGGGTAATCCTGAAATGGATTACTACTGCAGACTGACATTTCTATAACTTGAGTGGAAGTCATCTTCAGTCAGTCACCAATGGCAGGCCTTTTCATGATTACCCTCAAACAGATGATCACTGTCACAAAGCAAACAAAGTCTTACTCATTGTTACATAGCTAAGAATAATTTGTAGAAATGAATATCTGATTTTTGATTCACTTAACATCATGAAATTGAAGAGAGAAAAGCAAAACTAGTGTGAACAACCCCCTTCAAGGAATATTAAAAATCATGAGCTGAAATCAAGAAAATTCAAGCAGTTAAAGATATTCAGGCTTTTTTCTCACTACCCTTTGAAAAAACCTGATGCTCTGTCCCGACACTAAATATATGCTAGAGGCCACAACAGTAGACCTGTCATTAAAAAAAAAAACGAACAAGACACCCTGGAGTGACCAGCATGGAACTCTACCTCAATAAATCAGTACATAATCAGTCACACAGGTGTGGAGAGTTCAGCACATGATCACCAAAGAGCTATATTTTCTTGGTATATAACAAAATACTACCTAGAACTATTTAGAAATGCACTGAATATATTTGAACAATACTTGTAAATTGATACTAGATCGTATAGTGTAACGCAATCAACGAAACTGAAGGAGGAAATGAGAGGAGATTACGCTCAGATGGAACTCCTACGACGTTAGACCTTTAAACCCTGATTATATGCCGTGTCGAAGACACTGAAAGTAACAATTTCATTTGACAAAGTTATGGCGGCTATGTATGACCTTCACATACTTCACTTAGGGAATATATAGCCGTATAATCAAGTCTATAATTTCGATTATGTACTGCCTCCAGGAAATTACGCAAGTCGCATAATTTGATTCACAACATCCGATCAGAAAGCTTCACCACAAATGTACAATGTAAAATATGTGAGGTAGAATTAGTTACCTAGAAGGAAATCCACAGAGCCAAACTGGTGGCACCAAAGCGCGGGAAGGAAAACATTTTTTAGGCAAAAACTAAATCTTATAAATAATACATACGCTCCCCAGTTAAATCACATGGTTTGAAACCCGATAACAAACAATACCAAAACACGCAAACCGTACGAAACGTTGTTCAGTGACCGTGGAATTACACCGATCGGCATCTGCGAGTCCGAATTCAATGCCAATGTGATTAGGTTTCGTTCAGCATATGTCCCCCGATATTATTTACTCGATTGGAGATACAACAGAACCTTGGGGATATGAATATATTTTCGCACAAGAGCATTTCAGTCACGAATTCAAGGGCGCCAAAGCTTTCGCTTTACAGAGCCTTTGTGTACAACGAGGATTCCAGAATTGGCTCTAAATACTGCAGAATCTCGCTAATGTTAAGTTCAAAGCTATATAAGCGTAAGCCAGGCGAGGGCAAAGTACAAATCGTTCAATATCACGCCTTACATTGCGGCCGAAAAGATCCTTCATCCTTGCATAAATTACAGAACAAATGCTCGCAGCGACAAACGGAGGCGAGGTCTTACCGTCGAGAATGTCGACGCTCCTTCTATCCTTTTTTGCCTTCGAACCCATACCAAATCTTGCAAGTGGAACGCTTAGGCATTTATCTTCCTTCTGGTATTAGATTATTTACCATTCTACCACATTTTCGCTGGTAAAAACCCTGATATTTTCAGCTTGCTAAACTGTTCCCGCCATTAGCAGACGTCATTTTGGTTGAAGTCACTCAAGCATATCCAAATGACGTCACCATATTTGGACTGGAGGCAAAGTGTCGTTCCCAGGGACTAACATCAGATCGTTTTCCTGGGAACGAGGTAATATAATAACTTCATTTAAGTGTCAAATGTATTTAGCACTATTGCGCTAATTGGGGACACTGTAAATAAACAAACAAATATTGCAAACAGGGAGGCTGACCAGTTGGTTATTTACACAAGGCGGTCGAGGAGTTGAACTAGGGCAGAGGATTTGAACCAGGGACCGGGTGTCTGGAAATAGCGAATAGCGAATAGCGAATAGCGAATAGCGAATAGCGAATAGCGAATAGCGAATAGCGAATAGTCCCGAATAGTGCGAATAGTCTCGAATAGTGCGAATAGTGGGAAACGGTCGCGAAAAGTGGGGAATAGTGATGAATAGTCGCCAATAGTCACCGCTTTAGATCTAATATTCTGCGTCAAGTAACTTAGGTATCCAAATAAGCAACAGAATTTCAGTGAATTTATTACCTTTTCTTCTCCGGACTCAGGCTAGGGCTGCCCATCGCCGACATTAAGAAAACAGAAAACACAAGGATAACCTAACAAAGACGTACTTACGCTTTTTTAGAAACACCTTTTGTCCTGATAAGCGTCTGTGCTTTTTAGCTGGAAAATCCCATCCTACGTTGCTGTGAGGTTGACTGCGAGATACTAGGTACCCTATTTGCTACGATTTACCACTAATTGCCGCTATTCGCCACTATTCGAGACTGTTCACCACTATTCGCACTATTCGAGACTACATGTATTCGCACTATTCGCACTATTAGCTATTCGCTATTCGCGACTATTCGCTATTCGCTATTCGGGTTTTCCAGACACCCCCAGGGACCTCCAGATTTCAAATCCAGCGCCCTAAACCACTCGGCCACGCCGCCTCTAAGAACGCCGCTTTCGCTAGAAAAGACAAAAGACGGACGTGTTAAGCAGCCCTCAAAACTGATACCGGCCAATAATTAGACTGCAAGCAGGCTCTTTCAGCTAGCCTCTTCCAGACGATCAGTTGGGACCCACCAGCACCAACCCGAAAAACAGCTAGCGACAAAATAGCCCAAGGAGAAGCGCGGCGAAAAAAGCTGACTGAAAGCTTCCTCTTGCCGCGCTTCTCCCCTAGTTTTTCGCTCGCCGTTTTTCGCGCTACGCCCCAACTAAATGAACGCCTGGAAGAGGCTATCTTTCCGCGCAAAAAGTTGAGCCTCCTCGCAGGCTAGTCAATAATGCAAACCGCGTAGATCAGTCATTTGTATTCACGTGGTTTAGTCGTGCTAAAAAAGGAACGTAGTAAAAAACCGTTTTTCACTGCCCATTTAGTTCAAGGCGCTATGCAGTTTTAACTCTTCTTCTTGCAGTGCCCATCTCCCCCTCCCCCTCAGCATTCAGATTTGGGGTAACCAAAGGCTCACGTTTTTGTATTTTAATTTGGGCTTGGGGCTTTTATATTTTTGTGGATCCCCTCGGCGGGTATATTGAGCACTTGGGTATATCTCCGGGATAAAGAAGAATACTGAATTGCTATATAAGGTAATTAATATAACCAGCTACAGCAGCAGCTAGAGCACAAGCAGACCCCGACCCTGCTAGTGTCCTCCAGAGCTATTGTTTGGGATCATCACGCAACGAGGCATTGCGTGACAACCCCAAGCAACGACTGCGGAGACTACGTACTTACCGTACTTACCGTACTTACCGGACTTCTCCGTAGATCCCACGTTGGCAGCGTTTATCGTATGCGGTCCCTTACAGTTTCTGGTTTCTCATTTATGTATTTTCGGACCGTAGGTCTTTTCAGATCCGATACGCTGCGCTTTTAAAGGATGGTACTGGCCATGCAGTTGAATGTTTAAATGTTTAGGCTGGCCTTGTCCAGCCACATTTATTCTTTTGCTTTTCGAGACACCAATCTTGACACTTTGTCTCCTTGCGCCCCGAAACACGTGTTGTGGCAACGCGTGTTTCGGGGTGCAAGTGAGTTCAAAGTACGGAACTTGATATAGTGAACGGGTCATTTTGCAATTTATGTGCGTTGGCTGTTGGGCT